GTTGCTCCTTACACACAGCTTTCTCACTGCTTTGTCATGCCTAAAACAATATGAGTCACTGTTGGGGTGCTAATAATCTGACCTACTGATTTCTATGGAGCTATTCTCAGTTTACAGTGAAGGTGAAAGGAGAACAAGTTTCATTTTACTTCTCAGCATAGATGTTGCAGTGTTAGCCGGACATGATTTCCACAAAGCCATACTCTTTTTAAAATAACAAATAAGGACCCACTCTATATGATAAACTAAACACTTACAAATTCTCACTTCACAGCAAAGATTCGTATTGATTATGAGATATATGTAGAGTTTAACAAAGCATTCAAAATGATGAAATCCAGTATCCTTTTTTTCTACATTGCTGAAATAGAAATGGAAAAATATAACCAGGCATGTCTACACATCACCTTACAGCAAGGTAGTGATGTGCTACGTCACTGTATGGTATGCTGTAGTGACCACATGGGTCTACATGTGATTGCCAGCTACGTTGCCATAGAAGCACGCTCCCCCAATATAGTGTGCTGCCACGGTGACATAGCTCAGAAATTTACCTGTGCGCAGCGTGCGCGGTGCAGTAACAGCCCATACTGCACTGTGGTTCAGTATGGTGCCATAGCAACACCACCATACAGCGATGTATAGAAATGACCATCTTTTCCTTAAAATAAATTGGTTAAACAAACAGATTAACAACTCAATTGAGCTTGAATCTTGAGAATTAAGACACAGCAAAAGTTCACTAAGGCTGTGGATTAGCCACTCGTGATGACAGCTTAGCATAGAAGATATAGCTGCTCCCCTTGCTGTATTGGCTCTATTTGATAGTATTTCAAAATTACAGATAAAGTACTACATATAAATAATATTATGCTTGTAATGAAGCTCAACACTGATATATTTCAACATAGCCTCCTCACCAATTTCAGAAAATTTCTTAAAAGACCATAATTTTTTGGAGCCTTTAGAGAAGATTGGGTTAAAATGATTTGCTTCCGCATATTTGCTTCGTAAAATGTATGTTATTTCCTCAGACAGGTCATGCTTTGGCACCCCTTAAGAAAAGGTGTTTGAGATAGTATAAGGAGGGTTTCTTTGATCAAACAGACTGGTGACAGTTTATTGGGTACAAATCTACATGAATGCTTAGAAAACATGCTATTTGGAGATAGGAGTGGATCTGCCATTTTTATATATATTCTAGAGTCACTGTACTCTATTCTATAAATTCTTCAAATACAAACGTGCAGATGCAGATCCTTATGAAGGCAAACTTCCTGTTGAAGTAAATCTGCCAAATTCATCCTCCAATTTTATCCATGCAGTCCTCAGGAGAGGGGAGAGGGAACTCCATGATATAAATGAAGGTTGTCATCCTGCAAACACTTGGATAAATGCACAGTCCTGCTGCGGTCAGTGGTCCTAACTCTTCTCCACCCTGCTACTTTTGCGGTGCAACATGACTCCAGATGAACATGAAATGCCCCTTGCTGAACTAGCATCTTTGTAATAAGGCTACAGTATTCAGTTCTCAAGAGTATAAAAATCGATTTGATTGCTACCTTGTTATAACAAATGCAACGTATGTTGCTGCAGCAGCTTTTCTTATTTTACATTAAGATATATTTAAAATGTATAAGCTAACATGAAACATGCTGTTTCCTTACGAGCCATGGTATGCATTTTACATGTCATATCAAGCACACTCTGAGTAACTAGAAGCCATTTAGCCAAATAGAAATCTGGTATAACTCTGTTGTTTCAAAGGGATCCACACCCAGCATTTATAGGGCTTATTCTGTCTATAGAAAATAACGTTAATTGGAAGCATTGATTCATAGACTATTGCAGAGGTATAGTGTGTGGCTTCTCTCCATACTAATTTTATGCACAATGATCCTCAATAGGAAAGGCAAATGCTCCTACAAGTAAAGCTGCTACAACACCAGAATTTCTAATTGGTAGGAATCATCATGCAAGAAGGGACCCACGGATCCTAGGCTGCATGATCTGTTTTAGTCTTGTCATTAGCCTGATCATGTTCTCTCCCCAACTGTTTTGAGGCCATTGGAAACCAATGAGAATGTTATACACACAAGGAATGTGAGGTCAGGCCTTTAATCAACTCCAATCATCATTAGATGTAGCACTCAAGCTACTTGCATGTGGCAAGGATGCATAAGGTCAGCAACACAAAATGAGCTTGTGTTAATCTGCATTATCATTACTGATTTCAGGTGCCCATATGTTTCTGGGAACAGCGGATATCTATGATATGCACTTATCTAGATCATACATTTACATTTCTGTGCCAAAAATATACAAACACACAGAGGTATACATACATACATTCTAAATAATCAAAAATCTTAACATCTCAAATAAAAACCAGCAGAATAATCTCCTTGCCCCCAAAACCAAGGGTCAGGGCTTATTTTATTTGTCAGTAAATCTACTTCTGTTCTTTCTGCTAACTTAGTTTAGAGCTCTACCTCACATTTGCCTTTCTCCATACCGCACTACACTTCTCTTTTTCACCTTTGCACAGTGATTCTGAATAAGGGATGATCATTGCTTAGGTTACAGTATATTCCCATCTGTGCAGAGGATATATGAATGCCATGCACTTTTATGGTGCTCCCACAAAATGATGAAAAACAAACACCAGTTATTGTTTCTACTCTCACTACTAGTACCTCTCCCAAATCTAGATAATTAATTTATCTAGGGAAAAAGAAGCTATGTTTCAAATACTGCCCTCTTATACCTTTAGAATTACTGTTCTACTATGCTTAATTACAGCAAAACACATATATTAAAGACACCTATTACTGAGTGGTTGTTTTCATTTGCAGATTACTTTACTAATGATTCATAATTCTAAAGACAGGACATTGATCAGTACATCAGAATTTTCTGTACAGAAAAGAAAGCTAAAATGACATTTTCATGTTAACATATAACTGTTACAGAATGTTAGAAGTTTTGAATGCAGATGTTAGAAGTCACTTTCAGGCTAGGTCCTTCCCAGAAAATATGGCATCACCACAGTTATTATGAGATCAGTTTTAACTGTGTAGATAGGATAGACTTTCTTTTTTTGAAATTCGGGTTAGATAGGATAGACTTTCTTTTTTTGAAATTTGATTTGAAAAACTATATTGCAGCCGTAGCCATACAAAATGTTTATTATATTACAAATTATTTGTACACTATATTGTTACTTCATCATTGCATTGTGCTCAGACAGCATAAATATTATAACATGATTTCTCTTTCCAGGAATGTCCTTTTTGTCTTCATATTACCTTATTTTTGAACTTTAAAAAAAACATACAGCAGAAACATGTTACAGACAAGATAAAAAGCCATTATGAATGGAGAGATTAAAATTCCTCTGTGAATAAATTATATCATAGTGGTATTTAAAGTGATGAATTAGGGAATTTTCAACAGGTAGCACATTTCAAATACAATACTACACAGAAAAAACTTGAAACATCTAGCAAGTCTTCCCCAGCTGTCTGGGGCAAGGATAAGTTGATTTAACTCTGGAATCATAGTGCTGTCTCTCTAGAAGGAATTTAAGACTGAAATTAAAATCTTAAATTTTGTTTAAAATGACACACAAAGCCCTTGTGTATATGGAATTTCTTAAATGTTTTATGGTCCAGTTTGACAAGACTTAGGAACATGCTTAACTTTAACCCTATGTATAGTTAATTCATTAGGACTACTCAATTGCTTAAAGTCAAGCAAGTGTGTAATTCCGCAAGACTGGTACCTATGATTTTACTTCAGTTGCATGTAATGGCTTGTCTACACAATAAACTGCACTGGGTTAAGTAAAGGAATGATTTAAAAATGAATTCAAATCACTGCAAAAGGCAATGGATGTTTTAAAATAAAAATACATCTTCATGTCAAACACTAGTTTAACTACATTTCTGTAAAAAATTACACAGTATGGATGAAATTTGTTGTTGTAGACAAGGCTTAACAGACAACTTATCTCCAGTGCTAGTGAATGCAGTTCCCACTGAAGCTGACAGGTACTACCCAGGTATATGGCAAGCTGAGGTTGACCCTATGTTTTTAAGCATTCATTTTTAAATGCAACATTTTCAGGCAGACAACAATTCAACACAAAAATACATTTGGATGTCTTGTGTTACACAAATGAGATTGTATTAATTGACTGACAGGGAACTGAGACAGCAGTGCATCGACTCATAGTTATGAGAGGCTGAGTTTCTTTGGTTCTTTATTCATTCGAGTTACCCAGCTGCCTATTTGTGTAGTCCAAGACTCAAATGCTAATATCCATCCATAAAGTTGCTAACTTTTTTCTCGTTTTGCAATCGGTTTAATGGTAATTTCCTGTCCGCAGCAGATTGGTCACTTTTATAAATATACAGCATATATTTACACAGAGATTACAAAAATACATTTTATTTATATCTGATTTTTTTAAAATAACAAAAATGAAATTTCACATTTGTTTAAAGAACAACAAGCAGTCCAAAAGGTTTTGCAATATTTAAGGTCTTTGAGTAAGAGACATTTCTGTATTCCAGGATAGCTGGAATGGGCTTTATTATTAATATTTTTTTGAAAAAATAGCTCTGCTTTAAAAGTTTGTGCTTCAGCAGTATCACCCTCCCCACTTTCCAATCTCTTTTTCCTTGTCCTCTCAAATGCTACAAAGCTATACCAAGCTCCCTTTTTCACCTCCATAAAGACCAAAGAAACTCATTAGGAAAACACAAGGATCAAATAAAATAGCATATGCAATTGAGGCTAAGTGCATAAATTAATGGGATGAAAGACATCACCTTTAACTCCAATTGACATCAAACGTGCCCAACACACCAGAGCCCCATAAGCAACTTTAGTCCCCAACTCATTACTGAAGGAACTTGAAGCATTTTTCTTGATCTTCCACAATTTTGTATGACTGCAAAAGATGAATTACTGTCACATTCAGCAATGAGGATTCATTTTTTTTTTTTTTTTTGTGGAGGGTGGACTCATATATGCGGCATAACAGGTAATGGCATTTATCTTGCAAGGTACACAGTCCTCATAGGTTCAGTAAATACCCCTTTTTCACAGAAGAACAGTATTTTTTTAAATCCACACACTTGTTTACTTATTTAAACTTTCATGTAATCAGTAGGTCCTTTACATTCAGAGCTTCCTGTAGAGACTGAGTTGTCTAGCGCTGCCATATTCATTGTTCCAGTGTAACCAAAGTCAATTACAGCTTCAGGTAGTACTTTCTGGCATCACTTCACTAGATGTCATTGTTCAAGAAAAAGTACAGAGCACTATGTGAAACAGAGGTTTCCTTGTAAACGCAGGTGTATTTGTTCTTCCAGGTTGGATAGGCTCACCCAAGGTTCTCAAATTTACCAGCTTCACATGCATTCAGAATGAAAAACTCTTGAATGTAGAGCGAACTCAAATACCATTTTTCATTTGTAGGGTCCTGGAAGCTTTTAGCACCCATTTCCTTTGTTAATTTCTTTCCCACCATACAGTATAGGCTATTTTAATATTGAAAACACCTCTTTCATTCAACAGCAGCTTTAATGAGCACTGTAACCACAAATTACCAAAATAATGATTAACTCTTTTCCCAGTCTTCTCTTGTTTCAGGCTTTTTGTACTGTGAATAGGATGATGAGACTTAGGGCTATTTACAGGGTAAATTATTTATCTTACTTATTCACCTCATATTCTTTTGGTCTGAATGTGGCCTCTAGTAGAGAAGGACTGGGCTTGTTTCTCTGGCTTCAGCTCTCCTTATCAAGTGTTCTGTAATGGACTGTTAATCTGATCACTACTGTATAAGTTTTATGGCCTTCAGTTTACCCAGTACTACTGTATTGTTTTCTTTAATCAAAGAAAGAAAGTTTTGACATGCAGACGTTATTTCAGACAGTTCCAGTTCTGTGACCCAATACTTCTAATAAACTCTGCCATTACACAGATGTATGTTTAGTAGCATCTCTAGTAATGAAAGCCCATGGTCAAGAGCTAAGTGACAAACAGTTGCGTACCATAAACTGAACTTAGCACTATTAAACAAACAGTTACCTGGCAGCATCTTCTTAGCTGACAAACAGAATGGGTATCTTCAAGTCCTGCTGTTCAGTTTCATTCTATTCCGTAACAACAGAGTTGACTTTTCAGAAAAAGAAAAATGCCATCACTTTGGCACAAGTCACAGCAAGCTTTAAACTGAAAACTGAAGGACTTACTTCCTTGGCTACTGCAAGTTACATGATATGAACATAGCACACAATGAGGTTACACCTGAAACTCAAACATATCTGTTTGTTTCTTGGCCAGTTTTGCAACCTCCTCTCTTATTGCCTTCACTAAAGCAGCTGTAGATATGTTGGTGAGAGGAGTGTCAGAAGGGTCATTTTCTGTTAGGCTCTGCTGAGAAGCTGCAGTAGAAGGTAAGGGAGCCTGTTCCAAACTGGGGTGCATGCTTGCAGGCTGACTGTACTGGCGGTGAAGTCTTGAAGGAGAGTTATGTGGGTAGCGTGGCCGCGGATAAGCTTCTATGTAACCTGGGAGTGGAACCTATAGATGATAACAATCACACAAAACATTTGATCTTCAGTTCACCTAGTAAGTAATCTAGTTTCCAGGAGAGCTCCACTAGATCAGTGTTATTTTATTAGCACACATTTTGCATGCACTGTTTCTGCAGAAAGATTGGTGGGTTCAGTAGTTCAGCTATCGCAATTATATCAATAAACATTCTTTGTAGGGAGAAACACTGTACAAATCAAATTGTGATCGTCACTGCAGAATGTAGAAGGATGCCTTGATGAATGCAAGCCCATTAGTTATTATTCTTTTTAATGATTTGCATCAATGAAGTGAATGCTAAGACATTTCAGGACACTAAAAGCCAAGAAGAGAAAATAGGAGTTTGCTGACCTGAAGCACCATCCTGTAGCGGTTAGGTCACCCTCCTGGGCAGGAGACATCCAGATTTCCATTCCCAGTTCCAAAGCCTGTTCATGCACCACAGACCTTGGAGCAAGGGCTAGAACCCAGGACAACCTCCCTCAGAGATAAGTGTCCTTCCCACAGGGGCTAAAAGGTCTTGTCTCTCACCATGTGCTCTTGCACTCGCTCTCTCTGGTCTGAAGAATACTGAATTCTTTTCTGTAAAGTGGAACAGTTTCAAGAGCAGGAGATCTCTTTCCCCAGTTCGAATGATCTATAACTTCATGGTTAGGGCATTCTGTTGTCGGTGGTTATGAAATCCCTAGCCTAGGCCAATGAGGGAATTGAACTTGTATCTTCCACTTCCTGGGGGGAGGTTTTAGTTAAAAGAGGGATACTGGCTCCTCCCCTGGCCTTGCTTTAAAACAGTGGTTCTCAAACTTTTTTGTGCTGAGACCCATTTGTAAACATCAATGGCCAGTCCCAGCCCAGTGCCCCTCACTCCTTACCCACTGCCTCCCACCCCCAGGCCCCAGCCCC